AGCGCACTCCAGGCCGCAGCCAGCGCCGCGGGGCCCGCGCCGTCTGTCTGAGGCAGCGCGCCGTCCGCCGGAGGCAGCGCGCCCTCCGTGCCCAGAAGGCAGCCGCACAGCCGCCGGTTCAGCACGTGCGGCTTCTCCAGCCACACGCCCGCCGCCACCCAGAAACCTCCGGGCAGCCGCGAATTACAGTCCTGCACCACCACCTCCCCAACCACCGCCATAGCCCGGCCCAATCCCGGCTACGCCCCCGCGCGTCTGTTTCCGGGGCGGGGCGTTTCTGCCTCCCCCAGCACTTCCTGCAGCTGCAGTCGCCGCTGTAGGTACCTGACAGGTGAGCGTTGAGCAAGGTCTGGGAGTTTGAAGGTGTGGAAACTGGCTCCCTCCCCCACTAACGGTCGCTGACTGGTCGCTCGCTGCGGGGTACGTGCCCCCCCCTCCCGACTGAGGTGGCACCAGTTGCCCCGAAGGCAGGGGCAGAGGCAGCGGGTCGGGAGTGAAAGGCGCCAGAAGTGCTCGAGGGCAGGGGGAACTGGATTGGGGGGTGAGGAGCTGCTCAGGGGCACAAAGCAGAGGGTGGTGTGGAGGGGCCTCTCTGCTCTTGGTGGGCGGGGGGGGTGGTTTCCAGGGTAAAAAAAAATCTAAATCAAACACCAAAGTATATAAGTTTTTACAGTTTGTTTTATTATAATGATTGAGGCACTGACAGGCTTCCAAACTGCTTTAAAATTGTCGTGTTCAACTGATACTGCTATATATAGTGGTGTTTTATTTTAATCGCAGAGAAACGCGGGTTTGTGGGGATTTCAATTGCAGAATGATGGGTTTTTATCAGGGGTGTATGTTGTAGCCATGTTGGCCTAAGGACATAGGCAGACAAGGTTCTTTGGGTAAATGTGATATCTTTTATTAGACCAACTCCGATAGCTGGAAAGTTTTGGATTTTTTAACAGAGAAAACTAGGATCCCTGTTGTTGGCTGCTTGCTGTTTTCCTCTTAAGCTATGGGTGCTAAGTCCCTCTCTCCTCCTCCTAGGTCCTCCCTGCTGCTTTCTGGTTCTTCTGGGGCACCTGCAGCTTCCCTTCACCACCTCCCTGCAACACTGCCCAGCCCTGAGCTAAAGGATAGCTGGTTATCACTGCATTTGTCAGTTAAATTTTTAAGCTTTCACATCCCTCAAGCAAATCTTACTTTGCTTGGCCACCTAATTATAGGTGAGGGGCCAACCCAGAGACCTATCCCTGTTGAAGAAGCAGTGCGTTTGGAGAAAAATTATACAGAAAAAGACAAAGAAATTGAAAAGCCTGAATGAAAAAGAAGTTGTGTAGGGGAAGGTAAAGCATAAAATGAAATGGTCAGAAGGGGGGAAAAAGCAAAGAAGATAGGACATGATTTTAAATGTGGAGTTAGCTTTAGATGTCTCTCTAAATCTATGACCTGATAGCACTGATGTGACTGTGAGGGACAGTGTGTATTTACATGCATAAAAAATTGCAAAATGGGTGATACCTTTCCCAGAGTTTCCTGTCCAATTGGAAACTATAGTTTGCCTTTCTTGTCTTCCGGGCAAGTAAAATATATACGTTTAGGTGCTGGCCCACCTTGCATCCTCCATGTTACTAATTCTTATTATTTTTATCTTGAGGTGAAGTTTTCAGAAAAAAATTCTAAGTATAATGAGACTCAAGTGGGAAGCAAAGGTGTTTTGGTTATGGGGTGCTTTTTTCTTTTCTTTCTTTTTTTTTTTTTTTTTTGTATAA